AAACGACTTAGTACCTTCAATAACTCTGAAAGGTTCCACAAACTCTGGATCTAAGGCTAATCCTTGAAGCTTCAATGATTTCCCTCTTCCCTCTTCCTTCAAATCACCCAAAAATGGCTTGGAAGCTTGAAAGAGTAACAATGGGGATTAGGGTTCGGTAATCTGGGTTAGAGAGGCAGTAAAGCAACCCTAGGGAAAAGAATAAGACACTTAAATAGGGTCGAAGTCCCAGATTTAGGGTTTTCCTCGCTCAGACCAGACTAGCCGAGTCTCCTTAGCCAACTCGCCGAGTCGGTCACTTACTCCTTGACCCGGATCCTGCTCGGACTCGCCGAGTTCCTCCTTGGACATGACGAGTCATCCCTTAAACTTAGGGTTTCCTTTCCTTTCTTGGCCTTCCTGACTTTGGGTGTTACAAAAATAGTTCTTTATTTATTAGGGAGGATTATTTATTAATTTTTTAATTTGGCTTTTTTTTTATTGTGTTTATATCTTTTCTTTATAATTATTTAAGAAGTTTAGTCAATTATTTTATAAAAAATAATAAAGAAAGGAATGGTCATTTTTATCATTTTGCATAACAATTCAAATGTTTCAACCAAACAACATTTTATATTTCAAATCTTCAAAATTCAGAATCTCTTAGAAATTCAAACCTTTTATAAATTCACATCTTAAAAATTTAGATCTTGCCAATGAGCCCTAACTATGGTGTAATTTATTTTCAAAGATCATTGCTAGTGGGTTACTCAAAAACAATGTTACCATTATTAGTTTTAAAAGTCTAATAATCACTACGGAACCAGCTAATTAATTCATTCCATCAGTATTAACCAAGAAATTGTAAAAGTCAATCGGTTAAATTGCATAATTAAGGAATAAACATTTGTCGGATTTTATTATAAATGCATACTTTTGTTTATTCTCTTCGAGCATAAGTCAGCTTCACACAGAAGTTCTCAACAGAACTTCCTATCTTGGTTATTTTCCTCTCTGAATGACCAATAGCCATCCACTGCTTCACCACATCAAGTAGCTTCATTTCCGGGGCAAGAAGTTTCCCATTCAAGAAGATACCAACCTGTTCAGATTATTTAAAATATAATCCATTAAAGAAAATATTTTTGTCAAACAAAAACATGAAAAAGAATAACAAATACATATCTATGAGACAATGACATCCTTGTTCTATTAGTGAAGTCTATATTGTTGAATCTCCATGGAAAAAGAACAATTAATGGACAACTGAACTCTAATGAAAACTGAAGTTTTTTAGGCATACAAAACTCAGCTTATTGTATGTAGTTAAGAGTTGCATGGTTCAATGTTTATGCAAGAACGCATAAGAAACGCAAAACATACTCTCTAACAGTTTCATGTTTTTTAGTTATTAGATTTACATGTGGACAATATCCTTCTGCCTATGAAATATTGTTCATTATAGCAATTTGTGCATGATTGATCTTTAAATTTGGAAATCATGGGATTTTCATGGACTTGAGGTCGGGGTCTTGGTGGGGTGCCTATGGTAATCCCTTTATTGTTGTATCTTCATGGCAACTCCCATAGATCGGTGCTTTAGCTGGTAACTCAATCATTTTCTCTTTCCCCTTGTTGCTGGTTATAGCCTGCTTGGACAACTGAAGCTGCCATATACATATTTAAGCCAACAAAAAAAGAATTTTGGATTAGTTCTACAAGTCTAGACTTTAGCAATCTGAATGGAGTGGGCATAGTCATTTGTCATTGTTCCGAGAGAATGGATTAGACATACCTAATTCGAGAGTATGGATTAGGTAAATATGTTAATTTTTGATCCGAGAGTATGAATCGTGTCGTTGTAAGGATCGACGAGGTGGGGTAAAATTGCTTATATGAGGTGAAATTGTATATATTATGAGACATATATATATATATATATATATATATATATATATATATATATATATATATATATATATAACATTGTGAGATTTTGATCCCTATGTACTCAACATGTTTCACAACCTGACCCACTCAGTTTATTTGTATCATAGGTGTCGATATGAAGATACATTACACTGAGAGATTAAAGGAGGTGCAAATCATTAGCGTAAATGAATGTAAGTTTTTTTATGCTTATGTATCTGCATTGAAGATGACATCCTAATGTTTTAATATAAACAAAATACATTTCTTCGAAAATGATTTGATAATAACTTTATCATGTTTTCTAGGAACAAATTCTGCTATATGATTCTTTAAAATGGATACTCTGGTTTTCAAATAAAGCATAAACAAATCGGTCTTTTTCTGGCCGAGAAGTTGGGATGTGACATTTCTTCAAGCAAAAGTTGAGAGCGAGCTTTATTACATCTGGGTAGTGGGTCCGATTGCTAAATGACAGTGGAAATGGTGTTGAAATTTCCTTTTGTAAGGCCGGAAACTAGTTGGAGCACCATCTTCGTTTCTAACATTGGCGAGCTGATCTGAAAGATTTTTTAGACGAGCTTAGTAATTTGACACATTGGAGAACGCGGATAGGCGAGTGTTGTTAAACTGCTCTTCAGGATAAACAACCCTGGTAATTCTATTATCTTGCAAAATTTCTTGAAGACGGTTCCAAAGTTGACGAGCGGTTGTGTCAGGTCTCACGATCGATTAGAGCAAATCAATGGATATGGTGCTGTAAATCCATGATTTAACAATAGAATCAAGACAATTCCATGTTTCTTCATTGATGCCTACTGGTTGCAGAGTGTTCGGATCAATGTGATCAAGAAGATTGTCAGCACACATGGATTTGAAATAGTTCAACGCACGAAGCATATTGATCATCGGTTTGATTCAAAATGAGAGGGACAACATTCTTAATGTTAGTGACAGTGAATGTTGGGTGTAATGGTTTCTTGCCGGAAACGGAAGATTCTCCTGGTGCTACCATGTTTGATGAGAAGGATGTTCGAGAAGAAAAGGGCAGGGATAGCTAGGGCTAGGGCAAGGCTTTGATACCATAAAGAATGGTATTCTAGATGGATTCTTCTCATTATACAAAATCAATTATAAATACAAAACCAATCCTGTAAATAAGGAAAGGATATACATTGTAAAGGGTAAAGTCAAATACAAAAATATAGAATGTATATATCGTCTAAGAACTTTGATCGTTGACTTTTTGACCTTGTTGATTTTTGGTCAAATTGCTAGTTCTAAAGTGTAAACTAAGGTGTGACCTTGTGTAATTCGATAGGTAGGTTGTAACACCTATTTCATGACGTTGAGCTGGGATTTGTATGACTTTATGATAGAGCTGAGTCTTCTCACTATACCGTGTTGGATGCTAGCTATCTTTGTGACTCTTGCATGTATGTTGGGCATGCCCGTTTGTATGTTGGGTAGGACCTATTTGTATGGTATGTGGGGCCCGTTGTGATGGGTGGGGCCAAATATGTGGATGGTCCTCGATGTTATATATGATAGGTGTTATTTTGATGAACTCACTAAACTTTGTGCTTATGGTTTTGTGGTTTAAACATTTTAGGTACTTCTGGTTCCAAAGGGAATGGTCAATCATGATCGCACAACATCCCCTTAATTTTTATTCTTCATTGTTATTTGGATTTGCTCTAATGTTGAGAATATTTCTAATGTGGTTGGTTCTGGAACATTTGGCTGTAGCTTTTTGGGTGTTTTGAAAATGAAAATTTAACGGGATTTTTGGCTCGTTACAACCATAATGCAAATGAAATGAAAGTATGTTAGTATTTATTTAACTTTGTCCTTTCTAGCTGTGGAATTTACTTGCAGATGCTTATGAGAGAAGTTTATGATTATGATATGTTATGAACTAGTTGTGAGACCCATGTATTACATGACTTAATTTTAAAAAAAGGTTAACTATGAAGGTCTAAATAATTGAGAACTTTGAATTTATAAGAAAATAACAAAAATAATGAATTACTAAAATGGAAATGTTTTTTATCTTTCAAATTAAAAAAAAATAATTTAAATAAATAAACAAAAGAAACTAATAAACTTTAATTTAATATTTTTGAAATTAGATGGTAAGCTCACTAATGAAATTGATATCCATTTATTACTATACTAGTTGTAACACCCATGTGATACATGGGTTATTTAAAAAAAATAAATAACTATGAAAATCTAAAAGTTTAGAAAATTTGAATTTATAAAAAAAAAATTAATTATTAAAATTGAAGTATTTATTTATCTTTTAAATTTATATAAATAATTTAAATAAAAAAACAATTAAAACAATTGGATTCAATTTGGAAGTATACAAATTATAAAGAAAGTTACATTAATGAATTGAATTTGAATTTATTATATTTAAATGTTATATGGAATTTTATAAAATGAAAAACCACAAGATGACATGTGGATATAATTTAATCTAAAATTACCACAAAATGATATGTGACATAATGCATTAGAAGATAACATGTGGCAACATCATTATTATTTATTTGGGTAGATTTATTGTAATTATGACATTAAAATATTATATGAAATTTAATAAAATAAGAAAACCCATAAAATGATATGTGGAAACAAAATTAATTCAAAATTACCACAAATTAGTATTTGTCAAATTGAAGGAGAGCATATCATGTGGCAAAAAAGTTCTTTATTTATTAGGGAGGATTAGTTATTACTTTTTTAATTTGGATTTTGTATTGTGTTTATATCTTTTTTTTTTTTTATAATTATTTAAGAGGTTTAGTCAATTATTTTATAAAAAATAATAAAGAACGGAATGGTCATTTTTATCATTTTGCATAACAATTCAGATGTTTCAACCAAACAACATTTTAAAATTCAAGTCTTCAAAATTCAGAATCTCTTAGAAATTCAAATCTTTTATAAATTCACATCTTAAAAATTTAGATCTTGCCAATGAGCCCTAATTACTATGGTGTAAGTTATTTTCAAAGATCATTGGTAGTTGGTTACTCAAAAACAATGTAACCATTACTAGTTTTAAATGTTTAATAATCGCTACGAAACCAGCTAATTAATTCATTCCATCAGCATTAACCAAGAAATTGTAAAAGCCAATCGGTTAAATGGCATAATTAAGGAACAAACAATTGTCGGATTTTATTATAAATGCATAATTTTGTCTATTCTCTTCGAGCATAAGTCAGCTTCACACAGAAGTTCTCGGCAGAACTTCCTATCTTGGTTATTTTCCTCTCTGAATCAACAATAGCCATCCACTGCTTCACCACATCATGTAGCATCATTTCCGGGGCAAGAAGTTTCCCGTTCAAGAAGATACCAACCTGTTCAGATTATTTAAAATATAAGTCATTAAAGAAAATATTTTTGTCAAACAAAAACATGAAAAAGAAGAACAAATATATATCTATGAGACTATGACGTCCTTGTTCTATTAGTAAAGTCCATATTGTTGAATCTCCATGGAAAAAGAATAATTAACGGACAAGTGAACTCTAATGAAAAGTGAAGTTTTTTAGGCATACAAAACTCAACTTATTGTATGTAGTTAAGAGTTGCATGGTTCAATGTTTATGCAAGAACGCATCAGAAACGCAAAACATACTCTCTAACAGTTTCATGTTTTTCAGTTATTAGATTTATATGTGGACAATATCCTTCTACCTATGAAATATTGTTCATTATAGCAATTTGTGCATGATGCATCGAAGGCTGCATATTTCAATGCACTTTGTCCCCTCAGCACTTGAGAAGGAATTTAAATTTACTAAAGTATATATGTTTAAAAACCTTTAACTAAAATCCACTCAGTGGAGATCATGAGAAATGAACGATACTTCTTTGGTGAATGGAACCAAAGTTATATGCAATTAATTCAATAAGAAAAATTAGAACATACCTCCTGTTGGCAAACATGCTTAAGTTGCAACACGATATACTTCATGAGAATAGACACATCTGGATTACAGTTCTCCTCCATGCTAGAATAATTTGTTGTTAATCATTACATGCAAGTTACAAAGACCAGAAAAATGAATGCCAAGAATTTATTTCCTAATGAACTGGCGAATTATATGAACATTAAACAACATTATACCGGAAAGGCCAATGTACTTACATTATATGTACGTACGGTTCCACTAGGAGTTGCAGAGTGTTCTTTCTATTCCTATGGAATCAAAGATAAGAAAATAAAAAAGATAAGATAGTGCAGATACTATTAGCTATATGATTAAATTTAAAAAGAATCTTTATTTCTCACTGATCACAGGAAGGAGTTAAACTGAACCAAACAGAATGCTTCTTTTTAGCTGGATTCAGATGTATTCCAGCGTCAACCACACCTTGTGGACAAATCCTGTTCCAACAAAAAGGTTCAAGTTCACCGATATTTTGCTGCTTATTTCTCCTGTTTCGTTTTTTGATTCCTGTCCTCGTATCCGTAGATGATTGATCTTTAGATTTGGAAATCATGGGATTTTCATGGACTTGAGGTGGGGGTCTTGGTGGGGAGCCTATAGTAATCCCTTTATTGTTGTATCTCAATGGCAACTCCCACAGATCGGTCCCTTTAGCTGGTAACTCAATCATTTTCTCCTTCCCCTTGTTGCTGGTTACAGCCTGCTTGGATGACTGAAGCTGCCATATACATATTTAAGCCAACAAAAAAGAGTTTTGGATTAGGTCTACAGGTCTAGACTTTACCAATCTGAATGCCAAAAATGACTGATGATTATATAATAATTAGACTCAAGGATCAAGTGATCATTGTATTATTGATAATATGTACTGTCTCAGAATTATATCAATGACAATTTACCTTCTTTCCTTGATTTTCCGGTGAGTTTGATCTTCCAGAAGAATCTCCAACTTATGATTGCTATTTATTTGTTCCTCTTCTTTGGCGCTTAGTGTAAACATACGGAGAGCCGACACCGATAAGAGGATAAAAATAGCAACATCAATGGAAAAACAGAAGTTGGAGATCCTTCGACGGTCTGACCGAACCAGATAATCAACGAAAGAAGGTAAAACGTTCTGTAATCGATAAGACGATGTAGCGCTGCATAGATGGAACGTAGAAATAAAAATCAAATGACGGCGTTTCAGCACACAGTCAGGTGCGTGATCTGATGGCAGAAGATATGTTTGGGCTATCTTGTCAACGCCTAGGGTCAAACAATGACAGAACCCCGAGGCTAATACATCTCTTAAGACTTAATGGGACCAATGTAATTGACCAGAAATCTCATATCGCTTGTAGTCTTGACTCTTGAGAGAAGCAGCCTGTTATCTTCTGGGCAATCATTTTCTATCGATATTGTCCAAACCAATACCGGTCTTGGGGTCATGGGCATTGCTTTGGATAAGAACCCAGGAAAGAAACATTTGCAGCCAATAAACCTACAACCTATCACACATCCAGGGACAAGTTTTTTTTTCACCAGATTGAAATGCATAACTCCGGGCCCAACCTTTTCTTTCTCTAATATGAAGATGACAAGATCTTCATGGGGCTATGCATGTCCAAGGATATGGTAAGAAAGTAAAAACGGTATAAGGATTTTAACTTGTCTCCCTCTTGAGTTTCGTCTTAAGGTTAATCACCTTGAGAATAATAGGGCCATGACAAACCAACAGTCTAGAGGAACATACACAAGGAATGATGTATGCTTTTTTACAAAACAACATATCATGACCATGTGTTATAAACTATAGATGTTTGGAACTTATCTACTTTAATGAAGTAGTGGTAGTGAAAGCTATGTCAAAAATGATAAAAGAAAGTATTTAAAAGGAGAATATATGTGGCCCGATCGTATCGTATTTTTGAAGATTTTCAATTGGCCAACCTCTATGGGCCACACATAAAACAAGAAGAAAAGTTCTCGGTCAATGCAACTCTAACATGTGGAAAATGGCTTAGCTTTAATTAGGTGGGTAATTACTATTTCACAACATTCTTTGCTTGGTTATATTGTAAACGTTCAAGAGGGACTTTCTGGGAAAGATTAAAGATTAGGATAAATTATACCAATATAAAATTGATTAGACTTTTATCTACAATTATCAATCACCTTTATCCATGATCAAAATAGTAAACACTCTTTGTTCTCTATCCTTGGAATTAGGGAAAAAGAGAAGGGTTTGCCATTCATAAAGAAAGAATACTTAATGATGAAATTTAGTAAGTCGATTATATTAATAGACTAGGTGTGAGACCCGTGTAATACACGTGTTTTTTTTTTTTAAATTAATATATTTTGTTAAACATTACATGTTTAATAATTTACAAAGCTGAATTTGGAAAGAATATTAATATTAGCTGTGAATAAACCAATTTTTGTAAGGTTTTTCAAATTATCGTGAATTCAAAATGGATTGCCTGAAAATTATGTTTTTCAATTAAGAAAGTTAATTTGAATTTAAATTGAATTTAATACATTAAGGGACAAATTATGTGAGGATTTATGGAGACATTTAAGTTTCCTTATTTTGTTTATTATATTTTTAGATTAGATTTTTTTATAATTTAATAACAAAGCCAAAAAAATCACAATTTGCCAAGTGGATTTAAATGAAATTGAAAAAATTAAAAAAATAACATGTGGCATATTGAATTAGGTGATGACATGTGGCAAAAAAAAACCTTCATTTATTAGGTAGGATGTTTGGTTATCAAATAAGACACAAAATGTTTTTTTTTATTCCATAATTATATTGAGATTCGTGTTTCCCAAACTAGATGATTTGATATCTACTTTTTTGTGATAGTAAAAATAGAACTTGTATGATAGTTTGTTTTCGTTATTGTTAATTGAAGTAAACAACACTACAATTAAATTAAAATATAATAAATATTAAGTTGATGTGTGGATTTATTTAACTCATACTTGTTTGATGTTGTTTAAAGCGGTATATGTCGACAATAGAAAGCCATGGATGGTAAAACACAAGTTTCTCAACTATTAAAAGCAAATAAATACAAGGAGTTAGGAATTTTCCATCCATGAAATATCAAGGTGAGTAACATAGCTATTTTTAAGGTGATTAAGATTGTTATCTTGAAAATCGTGTTTATGTGGGACTACCTAGTTATCCATCGGTATCTCCTACAGGAAGACATCCACTTGACACTATAATATGGTCTGAGGGCACCGATAAAGTATATGGGTTACCAACACTATATAGTGATGCAAAAAAATTAAAGCTTGAAATTGTGTCTAGTTGAATAACCACTACTATAACCATAATAAGTATCAAAATTCTAAAACCTACACTAAATTTACGATTTCATGAAAAAATTCCATCTTTGAAATATATAGAATATTTTTAGGAGCAAATTTGAATAACGAAGAATATAATGATAAAGCACAAATAGTTAAATAAGTCATAAGTCATAAGTTATAGATTTAAACTTCTTCTAGCAGGACTATCTAAACTTACTTAATGTATGGTTTGCAACCTTTGAGCAACGGTGAACTTTTAGTACCAAAGGATCTAATAACATATATTTTCCAAAGCCTATGAAAATAATTTATTTGAAATATAATAAGAATTATAACTATAAAAATGGAGTGGGAAATTATACTTTCTAATAAGGAAATGGTACACAAAAGACACCATTTGGAAACTAGAATCCATGGATTGTGATGGACACATACAAAAGAAAATTATTTACCATATTCATTGTAAAGCTAATCGAGGAAGATGGAGGAAACTTTTGAGTGGGACGGAATTATAACCTTGAGTGCGGTAGTAATCGATGAATTCAAGTGTATGTTTAAGTAAAAGTTCCTTACTAGGTTCAATTCTTCATAATGCTTTATGACATATGTTTATTCTTCTTAGGAAGATAGAATTCATGTATTATGAGAGTTGTGAGATGGTTCTATAGTAAAAGGAAAGATGTTATAGGTCTTGAAAACAAATAAATGTTCCAATAAGATAAATCTTTCTTACTTCAATGTATCAAGGTAATCATCAAACGAATTGCTACTACACTGATTGTAACTATATAACATATTTTAGTTATGTCAAAGGGATTATATTAAGAAGCCCATATGTTCTTATATATTGAAAAAAATAAAGGTCTCAAAATATCATGATAGTTATAAATTATATTTATTTTTATGGTAAAATCAGGTTGTGCACAACATAATACTTCGTATGGTCGATTCATCATCAAAATGATACTCCAATAGTATTAAAAAAATAATAGTGTTTGTAAAAATTCCTATATCGTCTAAACCTTAATTTATAATTTCCCTTATAATGGAATAATTTTTTCTATAAACCCTTTTAATCTATGTTTCACATTTTTGTTATGGAATAATTTATTTCATTACAAGTTTTATTTCTTGATATTGTTTCCTCTCACACTTCAATTCAAATTAAAATTATTAGTCGTAATCAATGTTGTGGCGATTGAGAAATTAGAAGAAACAAACATCATTATATCTTTCATTTTTGAATCGTTACAAACTTCAAACTAGACATGTAATAGAACTTACCAAATTTGACATTGCTGGTTGTGAAAATCGATAACGTTACTCCTTTCTGGAATTCTCTTTCCCGATCTAAATGATTTTTCTATAATTTTCTCGGCTGCGTACAACAAAATGAGATTGGTTAGGGTTTCCTCTTGTTATTGTTTGTGGAACTTATACGTCGCAAAAAAGGTAATGGGCCCAATCATTAATTTTTATCATGGCCCATGGTTCGTATATTGTTGACACTATCTTTGAACCAAAGTTGAAATTCCACATTTTTGGCATATTTATGATTGGCCATTGGCCATAGTACTGCTAAAAGAAAAAAAGGGTTCTCAACCCAAAAGAAAAGAAAAGACATTGGTTGGATAGTCCAATCCGTGCCTCAAGAAAAAGGTCGATTTCGAGATAGCTCCCACCGGTTAGCTAAATGAGGCCATTATATCTACCATAAGCCAAATGGACATTGGAAACGTAGTTGCCCAAAATACATGCAGGATCTAAATAAGAAAAAAGTTAAGGAGTGTGGCACTTCATTTATATTTATAATTGAATTCCACAGTACATCAACTTCTAATTCTTGGGTTCTTGGTACAGGATAAAATACTCATATTTTCTCTGATATGGAAGCACTAAAGCAAAGTAGGAAGCTAGAGCATCGGGAGCACCACCTAATCATAGGAAACAAACACATTACACATGTTACAAGGATAGGGGATTATGAGTCCGTGCTAAGTAGTGGTGTTACTTTTAGATTATTAAACTATTCTACTCACCTGGTATGGCACAAAACATTATTTCCTTTTATGAATTGTATAAGGATGGTTTCCATTTTTCTTTTGATATTGAAAATGGTGATATTTTGGTTTATATGAATGGTTCTTTTTTAATTTAAAGATACCCCCTGCAATGGTAAGTATGGAAATTTTGTTGTGTTAGTAAATCTAATAATCTAATCTTAAACATTGATTCTTTTGAAAATGTTTTAGATAGATCATCTATGTGGCAATGTTGTTTTGGCCATATAAACAAGAAACACATCACCAAGCTCCAACCAGATGGGATCTTAGAATCATTTGACATGAAGTCTAATGATGT